TTCTTGGAACTATTTTTTTCATCGAAAAAGATGAGAATGTTTTTTGAACGCGGAATCACGAGCTCGCTTGAAACATGGCGCGAAAGATAAAACGAAATAATTAACAAAGTCTTACAACAAGTCCATAATTAATAAAGTCTAGGTTTCTCATGAATAATTCGCTTTTTTACGCTTACACGCAGAAATAAAACGCAGTTATTTTTTGACCAACATAACGTTAACGGAGTCTTTATCTTTATAAAGTATGTTTTATATTTATTGTATTTAATTATATTGTATCTGTTGTAGATACAATAATTTATACTGCACACTGCATGTTGTATTTACATTTACAGCTTATGCTTTTGTATCGTATGTATTGCAACTTATATTGTAAATATTGTACTTATTATATATAAATTATAATATAATACTATTAATATATATATATATATATACTATATATATACATAATATAAATATACTATTATATATTTGTGTAATTTTATTTATACTAATATATATATATATATATATATATATATATATATATACATAATATAAATATATACTATTAATATATATATAATTATTTATGATTTAGATAAAATAATAAACTAAATAATATACTATTAATATATATATATATATATATATATATGATTTAGATTTATCGTATCATTTTTATTACACAAATTGTATAATATACAAACATTTGTCCCAAAATTTTTGTACGGATTTTGGCATAAGTGACGCGGTTCCATCAACAACGTTCCAACAAGAACCGTCTTTTTCTATTTTTCGTTTTTCGTTGTTCTCTACTTTTTTCCCGCCAATTTTCCAGCTTCCCGGTTAGCCTGCTTTTTCGATTCCCCTCGGCCTTTTTTTTTCGATTTTTCAAACGTTTGAAAAAAAAAAAAAAAAAAAAAAGAAAAAAAAGTTTTGACGATAACCATTCCCCGACTCGCGCGAGGTCGTTTAATTGGCCTCGAGTGGCGCGACGCGTGCGAACGTTCGCTTAACCTCTTAGCTGTGGCGCTGCTTTTGAAAGTGTGTGTCCACATTGTGTCGATAACGATTATACTCGTCAAAGTGGAACAGAGTGTGTGTAAAATTGAATTAAATTACGAGAAAGTAACACTAGTCTTCTTCTGGAAGATAACAATGATTTTATTTATTAATTATTAATATTAATTGATTGGCACTGCCTGCGTTTCAAAATTAGTGTCCCAATTGTAAATGATATTTCGCCTGGTTAGAGCGTACCTTTGGCAAAATGTGGTAGCTTGTAATCATTTCGTCCTTTGTGAAGCATGATGGATTCCGTACTAACTTTCTCGAAAGTCTCTATTTATATTTTGCTACAAGTTTTTAACCTTAATGTAACTTAATTGAAAGTACTGTGCACTTAATGCAACGAAAGTACACTTATTTTGGAAGAAGGGAGGAAGTTATCAACTAATAATAGTCAACATTAACAGCAGGGAAATATTTGGAAACGATGTAAAAAGAACTAGTTAAATCCAGTCTGAAAATATTCCGAAATGTCCAAAATTTGCAAATGTTCTTTATTTCCCACGAAAGAAAATTTCAATTCAAGTAACAAATTGTAATTAATTGCAAATTTTAATTTGTAGTTTCTCGTGCGAGAGAAGTAATTTTTAAAATTACTCGTCATTCACAATTATACTCGTCAAACATACATAATATCTGTAAAATTGAATTAAATTATAAGGAAATAGTTTTTTCTATTTTTCTTTTTTTCTTTCCTAACAAATCAATTGTTCGTTCGTAGAAACCCGGCTTCGCTCGCGAGAGACGATCGCTTTGTCTCGTTATCCGATCGTCCATCGTCCATCGACAATGTTCCACCGCGAATGCATTTTCTATTAGGATAATTACCGACGACGGTATTGTGCGCGCGCGAGTCAGCCCGGTGATTTCATTTTCGGGATTAACGGAGTGTGCTACCGATCATCGTGCTTGTCGATTAAATTTTCATTAACTATCGCGCGGTCCTCGCGCGAGCACATGTACGAAACGCAAACGTAAACGCGAACGCGACCGCGATACGTTGCACGCACGATGCGCGCGACTGCGTCAACTGTCGCGTTTTGTCAATCGGGGGAAGAAACGCGCTTTCGGAAGAATTATCGAACCGATCGACGGAAATTGAGTTGCCCGTTTGCTCAATCGATCAGTTCCGGAAAAAGGTGAAACCAAAAAGGAGAGAAATCGGCTTTATACAGTAAATAAATAAATAATTGGCGCACCTAATCTTCTGGCGACGTCTTCGTGAAAACGTATATAACATATTGGCGGAATTTGTTTTCGTAAATATAGGGTGGCCATTGAAAAACTGAAGGGTTTGAAAAAGTCATAACTCGTTCGTTTTCAATCTTTTTCATTTCCTTTCTTTTTTTTTCTCTTTTTTTTTTTTTGTTGTTATAGGAAAAATCGGCAGAACAGAAATCAGAGTATGCTGTGTCAAATGGATTAAAAAGAAAAACAAATATACTAGCGCACCTATTCTTTTGGCGACGTCTTCGTGAAAACGTATAATATAACATATTGGCGGAATTTGTTTTCGTAAATATAGGGTGGCCATTGAAAAACTGAAGGGCTTGAAAAAGTCAAAACTTGTCCGTTTTCAATTTTTTTCATTTTCTCTTTTTGTTTGTTATAGGAAAAAATACTGGAAAAAAAACCCATTAATTGTATTTCCAAATAGAATAATAAAAAATGATTAAATTGAAAAAAAACATGTGTCTGTAACAGTTGTTTTTGTTTTATATCATTCGGTTTTTCAGTGACCACCCTATAGGTCACTGTGCACAAAGGAATTTCCAGTAATGAGCTGTACGATAATAATACAAGAGATATAAACATTCGAGACTCTCGAGAAAATAATTCGCAGTGGTTAATCTGCGTTTAATGTTGGCGGTATGTTGTTGGAAAAATTACGAAAGTATCCTTTTGTAAGTACTGGAATATTATCGGACATTAGGAAAGGACGCTTCTCTTTAAAACAATATTAAAAATATTTCATATTTTATTCGAATACATAGTAGAACTGCAAGGAAAAAAAACTTTTCACATGCCAGCAATTTTCTGATTCCTGAATTTTTATATTATTATTGTATTAATAAAATGTTTGTATCATTATATATCATTATTATATTAATTAATTTTATTCTATTATTAATGTTATTATCGTTACTTGGTTCTTGAAATTTAATAAAATATTTGTTATTATATTAATTAATTCTATTTTATATTACTGTCATTGTTGTGTAAAACATTACTGGAAATTGCTACTATGCACATTTGCATGTATGTACTTTCCTATATAGTAAACTATTTATGGAAACGGATTTCGTCAATGTATCATTTATTTTTACAAAAATATTTCAAGAAAACCAAGATTGTGCCAATACTTTCTTTCGGCCTATTCGTCGTTTTTAAGAAAAAAGAAATATTGGATGTCAGAGTTTCTTTTTTTACAATCGTTTAAAAGACACGGATATATTCTCTAGAGAGAAACATAATTGTATCAATCCATTTGTTTCAATTATTATCATTTATAATGATATAAATTTAAACGATTTAAATTGTAATGTTGCTTGAAAAACACGTATATTTTTGCCAAAATCAATATTGATTTTTGTCTAGACAGAGAAACATAATTATATAAATCCATTTGTTTCAATTATTACCATTTAAATTATAATGATTCACGATTTAAATTATAGTGTCTCTTAAAAGATACAATTTTTTGTCAAAATTAGTATCGATTTCTGGCCAAAATTAGGTCGAAACATAAATTGTACAAATCCATTTATTTTAATAATCATCGCTTAAATTATAATGATTTATATACAGAATATATTGATACGTAAATGTTGTTCAACTCAAATGAACATTGTAGAATGTACTATAGCAAACGTATTTTTTACCCGACGACATACAAAATGCGTAAAATCGTACGTATGTATATCGCGTTGGAATAATCGTACCGACTTTTGAAATAAATTATTCATTTTTACGGCCAAACAATAGCCGAATGTTAAACCCAATTGTTAATGAAAATTTATTTTAAATACGAAAATTAGACACGTCGAACGATTTCGCTTTCATACGAAAATTTCAAACATACAAAAACATATAAAAAGCGAACTATCGGCCTATGGACGACTCAATTAACAATCAGTGACGGTATCTTCGGTCGTTGTTCTATTTTATGGCTTCTCTTTGATTTTTGCGTTTCGAATCGGCTGCACAGATTGTTAAAAATAGCAATGACGTCAATGAAGAAAGAAAAAAATTGATCATTCAACTACTCATTCCTTTCGTTTTGTCACGGATCAATTTGCCGCTTCAAACTTTCAAAAAAAAAAAAAAAAAAAAAAAAAAAAATAGAAAGAACGTGACTCTCATCGAAGTCGAAGTTCGTAAATCGAAAAAAAGTCAACAGCTTGCGTGGAAATTACCGCGAACAATTACCTCGTTCAATTTCCATCGCCGGAGGAATAAAACAAAAGGGACGTTAAATCATCGAGTGGTCGGGCGCGATTTCAAACTTTCGAGAGACGAATTAGCGGGGAAAATTTATTTTTTCCGTCGAATTCATTTCTCCGAGAGTGAGGGGGAGAGAAGAACGAGGTTAATTACAATTGGCTTAACACTAGAACTAAAAATAATGCGGTCAAAATGACCGATCTATAATTTTTTATATATTAATATTATATTAATTATACATTATATATTAATATTATATTAATTATATATTACATATTATAAATTATAATTTTTTAGAGTAATTCTGCGGATTTACAATGTTACATTTTTTTCAGAAATTCGAGCGGTTTTTGTGAAATATATGAATAAAAGTTCGCGTTCACTATCGTATTACAAATCTTTTGATATTTTACTCGCATTCCAATTTTTCTTTTTTTTTTTTTTTTGACTCAATTCTTATAGCTTCAGTCCTCGGTGGTTCTAGTGTTAATAACGAGCGAGAGGAGAAGTTTACCTGAGACTGGTCCGCGGCGGACGGAGCGGATGATCAGGCTCGGTTGGCGAGAGCGCGGAGACGGGAGTTTGCGCGAGATCCCTGTACAATCGAAGCCTCACGGTCGGGCCGCATTGTCGCAGCAGTTGGACAGCCTCCTCGTGGCTCATCGGCGACAACGGCGCCCCGTCCACCGCCACGATTTTGTCACCGGGTCGGATCCGACCGTCGCTCAACGCCGGTTCACGCACCAATGCCCTCACGTAGTGACCCAGAGCGCTGCTGTCCGCCTTCCTCAGAGTGAAGCCCAGACTTCCGCCGACCTTTGTCATCTCTATGTCGAATTCCTGAAGCAAGAGAGGGGAGAGGTTGCAAAATTCGGGCAACTTCGCTTCGCTCGATCGCTCTTGTTCCACGCATTTCCTTTTCGAAAGTTCGTGTTCTTCTCTTCTCAGTAGGGAAGAAAGCGACATGGGAATTTTTATGCGGGGGGCGCAGGTATTGTTGGTGCGAGAGCAGAGTTGGATATATTTTATTCGTAAATAACGAATAACGATTTTATTCGAGGAAAAATAATTCGTTATTTACGAGGACAAATTATTCGTTATTTACACGAAGAATTCATTCGAAATGTTATACGAATAAAATTTTATTCGAATGTCCAACTCTGTGTGAGAGACTTGAAAAAATTTCCAGAGGAAATGGTTGCTGAAATGGAATGGATTGATGTCTGAGTCGATCTCTATTTCTTATGAATTTGCGTTATATCACGTGCATAATTAACCCTTTGCCTTATGATCTTTTTTACAATTTTCTTTCAGTAAACGTTGACTGTCACAACGCGTTACATCGTGTCAGAAGCACTGAAATCATCGTGTGTAATTTTCGTTCGAAGAATTAAAATTGAAAATTCAATTATAACAGAGTAACACGACGTCCGCGACGATCGTGAATTTTTATGTGCGATATTATAGGATCGTATCGTTCACTGATCTGATTAGTGCGATACAATGCTCTGTCGATCCGCGGATTTCGGATCACAGAGGATATTCAGGAGTCGAATTTTGGATTGCAAAGGTTTGGATCAAATATAATATTATTAAATGTCAAAGATAATGCCAATAAAATGATGCTGATTTCGCGATATCAGCTACAATACATGGTAACGTGTAGCTGAACAAAGAGCCGGGCGCATACTTCGAAACGCGTGTGATTACATATACTGATGAAACTTTGCATAAATTAAGCGCATACGCGTTACCAATTACATACGTATGTACAGAGTTGCTGCAACGATCGTTACGTTACACGACGTGAAAAGTACTCTCTGAAGAAAGTTGGCCATAAAACTTTGCAGATGCGTCATACGTGGAAAATATGGAAATATAAAATATGGAAATAAAGTACGTTGGAATATGCAAGGAGCATACGAGATGTAATTACAGTTTGCGTGCATTTCTAGTCGTAAAAGTTCAGCGAGGATTCAGCAAATGTTGTTGGACTTTGTGAAATAAACATTTTCAGAAAGCCACGCAGGATATCGTAAGTAAAAAATATTAAACTGTATTAAGCGAAGTGGATGCCTATTATTACGAATGTTTAATAAATACATGAAGCTAGTCGTACTTTAGTTAGAAGAAAATGTACATTTCGTAATTTGATTTTTCTCTCGGGCAAGAGAGTAATATGTGTATAATAATTTTGTATCTGTTCAGATATCTCCAATACAAAATATGATATTGGATCATTTGGTGTTCGATGATTTCGCTTTCGAGATTAGAAAGAGATCGGAATTAGTAAAAATTTTTAAACAAACGTGAAAGTAGTCGTCATTTCTTTGAAATAAATTTAAAGGTGCTGAGCACGAGTAAGAAAATGACGAATACGTCGCGTTAAAGTCTGAACTCTGTGCAATCTGCGTATCCATTAATATCTTCGATGTACAAACACGGCGGATTTGTTACAAATGCATCTGAAACCGTGTATACCAGGAGAAACACCGAGATCTAAATTGTAAACGAACCTCGATCGAATTTTGTATTCCCCTTGGGAGTTCCTACACGCATAACAGACAGTATATTCATTTGATCATGTTGTCCAATCGCGGCACGACCGAATTAAAAAAAAAAACACAGTTATTTTCAATTAATTCAATCGTGTCTAGCGTAGTTCCCAATTAATCCACCCAAATTTTAATGAACCACCCGCTGTATAATACAATTCGGTAATTCCAATAATTTCAATTCTCATTTCGACTGTAAACTTTCGTTCTGTCTTTCCCAAAAGCGGTTGAACTCAATTTAGGAATTGTCGCATTTATTTTAATTATTCATTTTTCGTGATCAGAATACAGAAAATCGTCGTTGATATCTGTAGTTTGGAAAATTTTATTTCTTCTCACTTTTCAAGTGCAAGTGACATTATTTTTATGTATATTTTATAAAATAATAAATGCTCTATAACCTACAGAAAGAAAGCAAATAAAAGAGATTGAAAATGAACAAGTTATGACGTTTTCAAACTCTTTCACAGTCTTTCAGTGACCACTCCGTACAAACACATGTTTTTTAAATTTTTTATTATTTCATTTGGAAATATAATTAATTGATTTTCTTCAGTATTTTTTTCTATAACCCACAAAGAAAAAGCAAATAAAAAAGATTAAAAGTGAACAAGTTATAACGTCTTCAAACTCTTCAGTCTTTCAGTGACCACTCCGTACAAACACATGTTTTTTAAATTTCTTATTATTTTATTTGAAAATATAATTAATGGGTTTTCTTCAGTATTTTTTTCTATAATCTACAAAGAAAAAGCAAATAAAAAAGATTGAAAGTGAACAAGTTATAACGTCTTTCAAACTCTTCAGTCTTTCAGTGACCACTCCGTACAAACACATGTTTTTTAAATTTTTTATTATTTTATTTGGAAATATAATTAATGGATTTTTTTCAGTATTTTTTTCTATAATCTACAAAGAAAAAGCAAATAAAAAAGATTGAAAGTGAACAAGTTATAACGTCTTTCAAACTCTTCAGTCTTTCAATGACCACCCCGTACAAACATATGTTTTTTAAATTTCTTATTATTTTATTTGAAAATATAATTAATGGATTTTCTTCAGTATTTTTTTCTATAACCCATAAAAAGAAGAAAATAAAAAAGATTGAAAATGAACAAGTTACGACTTTTTCATTTTTCCATTCAGTTTTCCGGTGGCCGCCCAGTGTAACAGCGATATTAATATAAATCATAGTGTATCGTAAGCAAATCACGCGGTCGCCCTTGTTAATAGTCTAATAATAATAATATACGATAGCCCGGGATTCCGACCGGGGTAACGCGGTCGTATTTTACGTTCGATCTTTCGATTAGCGGGCAAACGGGTGGAAAATGGAGGAATCGAGTGATTCAGCGATGCAGGAAATTCGGCTATCTAGCGGATCGCAACAAGGAGGGATCGTTGATAAGAGTTACTTACGCCATAGGGTTCGATCTGAAGCGGCGGCAGGGGATTGAGTATTCGTAACGGCGGCGGTGGTTCGCGTCTCGCCGGCGGTGGCGGCGGTGCACCCGGTGGCGTGACGCTCGTATCACCCGGAAGTCGACACACCACCAACTCCACGGTGCTCGGTGTCGTTCGTAGAACTTCCAGGGCCTCCTGCAACAAGTTACGCAGATCGAGGCGAGATTTCAATATCTTATCGGCACCGATATCAACGACAGCAAGATGAAATATCAATTTCGCTGTAGCTGATTAAAAAAAAGCAATCATGATCTTTCAATCTTGTGATTAAAAAAAAAAATAATCACAATTTTTAAAATAAACTTCGAAAGAAATGATCACAATCAGTTTATTATAATCTAATAATCGTAATATATATTAATTAAAAATTTACAGACTAATGCGTCATCTCGAGATTCAACGTGAAACAGTATTAAATTGATATTACGTCTTGATTCCCGAGGGACAAACTGCGCGCAAGATATAGCGTCGATCTTTGCTCCCGAGTTTCCGGATGTAGCTGCATTATGCTAATCAAATGCAAATCTCTGAGAGCTACGAGAAGACAAGCCCGTAGCTTCCATCCAAAGCTATAGTAATCGCTATTTTGTCGTAGCCAGCTCATCGTGTTAAGCGGGATGGACCAAGACGAAGGTAAAACGGTCGCGCCGCACACGAAACTTACTTTCAGAATTCACCGAACAATTGTTATTCTTTCTTTAACCGCTTGCGCTGGCAACTGATTGCGGACCATAACGAGTGACCGAACCGTACATAATAATTCGTCCGCTTCCTTTTTTATTCAGAAATTATTGAGAAGTAATAAATTTATTATCTATTTTGTGCCTGGATATACTTATTCGTAATGATACAACATAAATATTTATATTATATTATAAATATTATTTATTATACTTAAGTATACGTAAAACTGAGAAAACATTGCAATTTTGACAAAAAATTCTCAACGTGCGTGGCAAGAGGTTAACCGCTTGCGCTAGCAACTGATTGCGGACGATAACGAGTGACCTAACTGTATACAATAATTTGTCGCTTTCTTTTTGAACTCGTCGGTATCACAATTGAGAGGTAAAAAATTTATTATTTAATTTGCCTGGATTATGCCTTAAACATACTTAAAACTGAGAGAATATTGCAATTTTGGGACAAAAAATTCCAGCGCAAGAGGTTAAATCAAACTAATCATAACAATTAATAGTAAATAATCTCAAACAAGGATGGAAAACGGTGTTCTCGAAAAAAATTATTGAGATTCGCTGTTGTAATGGTCGAAGTGAAATTTTGGAAAACAATTGCCAACTCCGCGTGAGAACGTAGCATTAATATTTACCCATGTATGAATTGTAAATAACAAACAGTTTCAAATAATAATATTTATAAATAATATAATAAACAGTTCCAAATATTAATATTACAAATAATAATGTTTATTATTTGAGTTATTAAATTAAATTAAATTATAATATTCAATTATAAAATAAAATTTAAATTATTTAAATTATAATATTCAAATTATTTAAATTATAATATTCAAATTATTTAAATTATAATATTTAATTATAAAATAAAATCAATGGTTCGACGGCGAGATGAAGCTCGAAAACCAAAGTTGAAATTCGTCGTTGACAATTTGTCCGTTGAAATTTGACTCGGAATATCAGTTTTATGCTTACGTAGTTAGTGAGGCCGGTTAGAGGGATCCCGTTGGCTGCCAGAAGTATATCGCCGGGTTGAAGTTTGTTGGACAAGGCTGCGGGTTGTTGGGGGAACAGTCTTTTCACCCTAACAGGGCCGGCAGTGCCGCCACCGGAAACGCTTAAGCCGAGTCCCCTGCTGCTTTTCTGCAACGTCACTCGGAACGTGCTCTCTGAAAATCATACAAAATGCACTTAATTCCAAAGCAACTACTTCGAAACTGAACATCTTTCTTTTTTCTTTTTCCCTTCTTCTCCATTTTCTCTGTCTCTTTTGAAACTTCTGCTTCAAGGAGAAAGTCCGCTTCGAATTACAGGGAAGATAACGATGTCATAATTGCTATCTCTCTGTCTCTCTCTCTCTCTCTCTCTCTCTTTCTCTGCCGATTTCAACGAGACGTAAGAATTTGCACACGTAAATGAATATTTTTCTTCCTGTTTAACGAATTGAGAATAAAATATCCTATTAATTAAAAACTTGATGAAATCAGCCTCGTCGTTTCATGAATGAACATCTTGAATATTCGATACGAGTTTGCACGACTGATATTCAAAGTACAAGAATTATTCTGTGGCTGAAATTCAATTGGTAATAAATCCATAATAAAATAAAAACATGAACAACAGAATAATAATAAAATACGATTACGAATCATACGATGAATCTCTTTAGTGATTTAATTAAAAAAGGTTGCTTTCGTCATTAATTGTATATCCGATAGTTTTGAAGTTTACGAAATGAAATTTCAAGCAATATTTCGAATATAGAAATTGATTATGTTCCATGGTCGAAATTCAATCAGTGCAACGAGAATACTACGATGAAACAGTGATTTGCATCGGTATCTTTGATAGTTTTAAGCTTATGAAATGAAGTTGTACGCGTGGCTATTTGTGTAATATTTAAAATATAGAAATCAATTATTCCACAGCTGAAATGAAATAAATACGAACGAAAATGAAACAATACGATAAATTTAATTATAAAACAATCATTTAATTATAAAGCTACTCTCGTCAATAACTGCATCGGTATCTCTGATACATACATATATATTTTTCAAGTTTAAGTTTAATTTTTAGCATAATTCAATTTTAAGTTCAATTCAAGTTTAATTTTTCAGTTTACGAAATTGAGTTGTCTATGCAATATTTCAACCATAGAAATCAATTAGTCCACGAAGGCTGAAGTTCAACGGATAATAAAATCTACAATGGAAATAATAATTTGGTCAAAGATTAATAATAAAAAAACAGCTGTGTTCTTGCGTCGGTACCTCTGATAGTTTTTTGTTTACGAAACGGAGTGGACATGTGCCCTCGGATCGGTTTCACTTGGGAACGAATTACATATTCACCGAAAAGCGAGATCGAACGCGGTCTGTCTCGCACTGGTTCGACGAATGGATACAAAGGGAGCGCGAAAAAGAAAAAGCGGATGAATCCGTTCGTTTACAGTGCAAAGACAGAGAGAGAGCACGGCCTTCTGTAAATATTTATACCGCGTGAGGAAGGGAGGGGCGGGCTAGTTCTTTCTTTCTTTCTTTTTTTTTTTTTTTTTTTTGTATCAGAGCGCATTTACAATTTTTCCCGAAATTGTAGTCGGCTTTTGCAATTTACGACGCCTCCAACACGCACGCGACCTAAAATATTTGGAATCGGGTTGGGACAATTACTTTCTACCCTCGTTGCGTTCTATGTATGTGATGTCACCGCGCCAGCTGCACATTTCACTTGTTACAGCAACTTTCACGCGGGCGCGACGTCGTCCTGCGTTGGTCATAATTTCGAACGATTCCGTACGCTCCCGGTGGAAAAGCTCCCGTGTTTCGAGATACGAGCTGCGACGAAACATCGTCGACCACATTCGAGAACCGCGCTCGAACTTTTGACAATCGGGACAGTGATTACACCGAGCGTGTATCGTACAACGCCAAACGTACTGCATCTATATTCACTACAATTATATTTATATTATTTATATTATAAAAATGTTTATATTATTTATACTATTTACATTACAAAAAAAAAAAGAGAAAGTCCCCCCCCAGCTTTTAACTCAGAATATAAGTACAATGTCCACCTTAGAAACGACGGTCGAGTGCAAAGAATTAACCGATAATTCGACCGTTGTTGCTGCTCTTCGCAATTTCACATTTTGGAAAGACATCTTCGCACGAACTTCAACCTCGCAGCCTTACTTTATAAAATGATTATCACACGTCGTAATCACACGCTCGATAAACGCTCGAGCAACGAAACGTGTAGCCATCGCCGAAATTGACCACAGCTTCCTCCACCTGTGATTTCTATTTTCCAACATTTTCTCCTCTTTTTTCATGCGGTAGTGGACTTGGCGAGCACGCCAGTTCGAAATGACTCGCCTTTTACCGGATATTGAACCGATCCGGACGACATATCGCGCGCATTGTTCACTTTGTTCTCCATTCAGATCGACTCCTCTCAACGGGTAATTTACGTTTGCCACGTTATTGTCACTCGGGATCGTGCGCTCGGTGGCGATCACACGAGAAGAGCCCGGGCCATTGTCACCGGGATCGTTTCGAAATCGAGCCCGAACGAGTTTCGCTGATCATCCTCTAAACGCCCCGGCGAGTTTAAGAATCGATATCCCCCCTTGGACGATTTACGGCCACCATCCGTCATTATCTGGTGGTTAACTGGCACCGAGCTAAGCGAAAATTCGTACACTAGGCCATTATTTCCAACGTTCGATCATCGTGTCCCTTCCGAAGACGACGAAAACTGGAAACGTCGAGTTCTCCAGCTTCGTTCCTTCCAATTGACATTGTCTCGTTAATCTAGATCTCGTGTTATCCTCGAGTAATTATTGTATCATTAATTAATGTGAAAATGATTGTTGAAAAATTATCAATTTCGTGAAAAGGGATCATCGCTACGAAGTGTGAAACTTTGACAACAGCGAGTTCGTTTTTCTCCTACGTCACGTTGGAAAATGAGAATACATTTTCATCTCGGAAATTGCAAGAATTCAGAACGTACGTGAAAATATGAAAAAAAACTTTTCTTCAATATCATATCAACTATCTAATAACTCTAGATAATTAGTAAATAGTCAATAATTTAGAAAAGACGAACTTACGCTTTAAAATTACGATTAACAATAAATTAAAGTTAACAATAAAATTTAAGATTAACAATAAGTCGATCATCGTAATTTTGCTTTCACAAAGTTACATCAGTTCGAATTGCAGACAATTTTTCATTGTTATTAGTGCAATTAGGCGCTTCGTTGTATATATATATATATGCAACTGTACATAATTTCTTCCAAATTTCACGTTCGATCAAAGTAATTTTTTCTACGCGATATCTTTTAAACTGATCAGTTTCATTAACCTAGATCGACGGACTGGCATAACCAAACAATATCGGTAAACCGGTATAAGCGATCGATAAATCTTTTTCGAACAGATTTCTATCGGTAAATTTTGCCAAGCAGCTGATGGCTCGCTTTGGAAAAATTCTTTCGGTCGGGTGGGATAACACGTGAATCTAACGAATTTGTGGAAATTTAGTCGAGCGGGAAATCCTCGAGCGTGAGGAATCTGCACGTAACATCAAATTGCGTTTTATTCTCGCCGAACTATCTCATTTTAATGCCGGTGGATTTTCGCAGTTTCCAGAATTTCCCCACCGAAATGTTGGTTTTATCGTTGGCTAGATTGTTTGGAAGTAATGGAGTGGATGGGTTTGCCGGCAGGGTTTGATAAACGCCTCGTAAAATTCAGGCGCGTAAACTCTGCACGGTGCAGTCGTTATTGCTGCTAATATCGTTGTTAATGCAACTGAGTGTTTAAATATGACGACACGGCGCTTGCTGTGTAATTGTTATCATTTGTTAGACATTGTCCAGCCGTCAGTTTGTCATTAAGAAAATCACCCTGAAATTAAAGGTCAAATTCTATTCTTGGGACAAATTGTGATGTACAAACCGATCGACAAAGAAATGAAAAATTGAAATAATTATGAATGAAATGATTTACAAATTTAAAATTTACTCTTAGTTAGAGATTCACTCTTCGAACGTTTGAAAATCAAAAAAAGGAGAATAATTATATTTCATACATAAGTTTTAACATTATTTTGAAGAAAATTCGATTTGAAACAAATTTCGATCGACGAGAAACTTGAAAGAAATGAAATTGGAATAATTATTTAATAATAAAATTTAAAATTTATTCTTACTTAGAGATTTACTGTTTAATCGTTTGAAAATCAAAAAAGGAGAATAATTAGTTCACTACTAACTATATAATTTTATCCAATAAAATTAGTAGTATGCTTCTAAGTAAAATTGTTGAATTTCCAAGTGTTGAATTAGTTTTAACATTGCCCTAAGATCAATCAAATTCCGTTTCATGCGGATTCTGATCCGCTCACGATCATAATACAAAGTGAATTCACTTCAAAGAAATGAAATTGAAATAATTATTATTTAACAATGAAATTTAAAATTTACTTTTATTTAGAAATACAGTTTCCGATCATTTCATCATCAATTCCACTAGAAATTAATAATTTTATCCAATAAAATTAGTAGCGCGCTACTAAGTAAAGTTTCAACATTGCTTGAAAATCATTCTTTGCTTTTCCTTTCGCAGAGAAGTTTGATCGGCCAAGGAAATCGTTCGTTTACACGGTCATAGTTCAACGGTGCAACGGATATCGACGATTCATGTTTTAGGGAAATTTGTTCCCGAAATGAAGAACTTCCAATGTTCGTTCACGTTTAAAAGGACACCGTGTAATATTAATGGAATGGAAACGAATGAAAAAGAGACGCACGAGCTAGGGTTCAACAAGATTGATGCTCTTTTCTCTCTCTCTCTCTCTCCTTCTCCTTCGCTCTCGACACTTCTGAATTTATTATTCTCCGTAACTTGACTTAATAATTCTTAATGAATTTCCTGTTGGAGAATTCCTTAAACTTCGCTGGGACGGCAGAGAATTTTCACAAGGGGGAGTTTGAATGCTTTTAGTTAGTTTAATCTCTTCGTTCCACATTCTAACGTTACGGCCACGCAAATACAATATCGGGATTTATGATGTTATTAAAAACTTCTCGTCGTTGTAAAAATTGCGTAAGAATTCGTAGGAACGATTCGCATTAAAATATAATCGCATCGAG